AAATTAGAATTAAATAAAGCAAACATTAATATAAATCAACAAATAAATTTAGTTTACGCAATTGCTCAAGTAAATTTCTATAATAATATTGACAATTTCTTAGATAATAAAACTGGCTTAAAACCTTCATTAAATCTTTTGTACTTAATGCAAGGTCAATGAAAAATAAATTGAGTGTATTGAGTTGATTTTCCATCAAATGGGCAGCAATGTGGATATTATAATTGAGGAGCGATCAGACAAAACGAGACAAATCCATTTTAGTGATTAGCAGAAACAAGTCAAATATAAAAAAATTCTTTTGCTTTTTACTTATTTCTGAAAATCACTAAAATGGATTTGTCTCATTTTGTCTGATCGCTCCTCAATTATGGCTGAAACATGGGTTGCAGAAACAGAAAAATACTGGTATAATTTGGGAAATTTCAAAGCAGTATTTTCAAGTAGGAAAAAAAGGGCGAGGGGCAGCAATTTTTGTTAGGAATGACCTGTACTATTTTGAAAACTGTTGAATACATGGACTCATCACTTGCCATGATAAAGCTACATGGAAGTGACCTCCATATTGGAGCAATCTATACCGTACCTTCATTTGCAAGCTATACATAGGGAAAATACATTGTAGGTGGACCAGACAAGTCGAAGTCAGCGCAAAGCGAAAAAGTTCTCAGAAATTATTATGACCTAATAAAATTTTAATCGCCAGTAAACAAGGTCACCTGTTACGTCGCATGTTAGTCTACTCATCCACTCGTCAAAATAATTTCTGGGAACATTTTCGTTTCGCGCTGACCGGCGCGACTTCGACTTGTCTGTTCCACCTACAATGTATTTTCCCTATGTATAGCTTGCAAATGAAGGTAGGGTATACCACCCAATAGCAATAAGCAGGCTGCCTTGCAGTTCCTGGACAATGAACTGGCTGATATTACAAACAAAAAAGGTATAATAATGGGTGACTTAAATATTAACGTTTTAAAAACATCTACGCTTGCAGAAGAGTATAAAAATACTGGTATTTCAAATATTTGCATTTTGAACACAACAATTCCCACTAGGATAGCTGTACGCAAAGTAAATAGAGGTAATCCCCAATCACAACGTAGTAAAACACTTTGATCATGTACTCACAAGCAACATTGTGACTGATGGTACTAATCTATCAATAATTGGTAACAGCATTAGTGACCATGATCTACAATTGTAACAGATACCACAGATAAATACCAAAGCAAAAAAAAGTGAAAATGTTTACATTAAAAAAGTTATCAATATAGAACAACTAAAAAAGGAATTGCTGGAATTAAATACCAATTACAATCACACAGAGAATATTGACGAAAGTTACTGCAGATTAATCTCTGTTTTGACAAAAATACGACCTATAAAAAGTTGAATAATAGGTTTGGACCAAAATCTAAAGTTTGGTTTAACATGGAAGTTCTAAATGCAATCAAACTTTTTGAAGGGCAAAAAACATTTCCCAATAACAATTTCCTAAAAAAAAATGCATCGATGCTAAAAAAAAGTAAGAGACAAAGTTCAAAAAGCAAAGCGGGCATTTTATGAAGAAAAATTCACAAAAAGCCAAAACAATGTTAGAAACACATGGAAATTAATCAGTTCAATTGTCCGAAACTGCAAGAAAAATAAAGAAGCAATTTCAAGGATTTAACTGCATATGTATACATATTTTTATAAAATTCGTTTTCTGGATGAATTTTTAATCTATGAAAATAGTAATCACGTAAGTCCTGTATTAAAGCATTGTAATTAGCTGGCAATCAAACTTTTTTGTAAAAGTTTTTTGAGTGTTTTCTTTCAGTAAATTTTGTGCTATTTGTATAAGCTCCAGCTCGTGGTCGCTTACACTGTTGCCAATTACATAATAAGGACGTTTTTTATACTGGTAGGTATTTTTGTGTTGTAAATTTGAAAATTGTTGAAAATTCCATGATTTTCTAGTTGCTTGCAAGATATTGATGTTTATATCACCCATTAAACATACAGTTTTATTTGCGATATTGGATAGTTCATTATCTAAAAATTGTAAGGCTTCATTGAATTTGTTACTTAATGTGACATGAGATGGGGGTATACAGGCTGACAAGATATAAGTTATATTCCTATATACCAGTAAAAAGGATATATCAACCTTGTCAACTTTTCTTATAATATTGTACCTATCTTACATTATTTCTAAATAAAATTGAAGTACCCCCTCCTCGTTTCTCTCTGCTTGCAAAAATGGAGCAAAACTTGACACGTTATAAAATATTTGTTCCTCTTCAATAACCCATGTTTCAGTTATAACTATTGCAATAATTTTTGGTGTTATTTGGTGTATAAGAAGTTGAATAATATCCAGTTTATTTCTCACTGATCTTGCATTTAGGTATAGGACATTCATACATGAAACATTTATCGTTTGGAGCTGAGTAGATCCTCATTGTTAAAATCAGCTATACTATTGTATTGCTGGACTAGATTTTCTGTATTATACATTTTAAAGCTTTGGTATATTTTTTAGTGTTATTGCAGAGATTGTTTGGTTGTTTTAAAGTTTTACCTTAAAAGTTCTTCAAGTTGTACAAAACTCCTGATTTTTATTGGTTTGGTTTGGTCATTTGGTGATTTTGGGACAGCCTGTGTCCAAAGTTATCTGCTCACCATTGCTAACTCCGATATTATTGAAGCAACAAAGTTGGTTAAATTAGAAAATTTTTGGCATTTTTCTTTTGATTAATATGGTATAAACAGAAAATCAGGTTTTTGAAATATTCACAAAAATAACATTTTTTTAAAACAGTACATCCTGCATATTTTTATATATTTTGAAATACAATTAAATTTCGAATAAAAAATTATAATTGCATAACTACCCTAAACTTAAAAATAAACAATTATACAATTAACAACTTTATGATTGATGTTAATAAAATAAATTAATCAATTTGAATTATGCAGCAGTCTTTTCGCCTGACGATTATTATATAAAAGCGTCAGAAAAAAATTGGAAAATAAAAATTACAAATTTAAAGCCGCCTGACACCCCTAACGAATTACATACCCCATCTGTGGCCTTAAAATAGGTGATAAATAAATTTTCAGCCAAAGGTACAAATATTTTTAAGCAATTTTTTTTAAATTTGAGTCGTCTGACGTGCCTTTTGCAGGTATTTTGAGTAAAACCCTTTAAATGACACTTTGTAATAATTCCGCCAACTATATCACAAAATTTCAGCCCATAGTTGGTTCTCCCCATAGTATTATGTTGTATGATTAAATAGGATACATAAGACCATAGTATAGAGATGCGACTTGAAAAAAAACGGTCCGTTTTTTTGTTTTTTTTCAGGTTTTTTTCATTGTTTTTTTCAAATGGTTTTTTTTCACATTTTAGGTTTTTTTTTTGAAGATTAGTTCCATTTACCTAATTTTTTATGTTTTCAGTCCAGTTCATGAACTAAAATTAGCTACTAAATGACTAAAAAAAGTAACTACCTATAATATTTTAGATTTTTTAAAAAGCTACCAAAAAAATTCAAAAAAATCTCGAATTTTTTTATTACGGTATTCGTTAGGATTGAGCGTTGCACGTTTTTCATCTAAAAATTAGAAACTTCAAAAATTGCTTTTTTTACGGCTCCAATACGACCATTTTTAACGAAGATACAGCTATCCGAAAAATCGCAAAAAATTTGGAATTTTTTTAATCCTTTAATTTTTTCTATTAGTGTAGAAGTTTTACATTGATATTAGTTTCTTATGTGGAAACTACCAAATAATAAGAAATCAGATTTTTTAGTCTCGGTCAAAATTTTCAATAATGAAAAATGAAATATATTCTACCTTTTACTTTATTATTAATATACATTTGGTTAAAACCAAAATTTAATTTTGAAAAATTATTCCATTTTTTAAGATTTATGTTATTTATTGACAGAATATGCTTTATTGTAGCAGATTTAAAAAAAAAACAAAAAAAAAAACCGTTTTTTTTCTAGGTTTTTTTCATGTTTTTTTTTTCACATCTAAAAAAACCGTTTTTTTACATCTCTACCATAGTAAGTATATAATAAAGCTTGGCGTGGTAATTTGATCTTTCCAACAAAGTTGAGCATCCAAGAAAATTACCAAAACAGATCCTTTAAGATAAAAGTTTAAGCCAATCTTATTTTTAAGAGGAGAAAAATAATTATAAGCATCAGGAAGTGTGAGAAAATGAATGCATCACAATGCATCATATCTCAAGAACCATTAGTCCTACATGAATTAGATATAGATTAGATATTTTTATGAAAATTTACAAAAGCAGCAAGTTTTATAATAACTAAAATTTACATAAAATCAATAGTTTACAAGATAATCAAAGAACTGTTTTTCGTGACCTCGATATTTGGCAAAGCCGACACGATTTTGCTTGGGACTTCTGAGACATTATTTAGTAGTAATTTAATGGTAATTTACTAGTGCAAAGAAAAATCAGGCCATTTTTTGCCCAATTTGACTGGACTATTAATAGGGATAATTATCCCTAGCGCCGCTAGTATGAGCGTAAAAAAATGTATAACTTTTTTTGTACAAATAACAATATCTGGGTTTCAAAGCTCTTTTCCAGTACTTATAGTAGGTATAGAAAAATAGTTTATTTAAAAAATCAACAGTTACATAATAAATGAGTTTAAAAGTGACACCCAAAATGCCACAAATTAATGATTTTTAACTGCATTAAATACAAATTTAAAGTGACACCCAAAATGCCACAAATTTATGATTTTTAACTGCATTAAATACAAATTTTGTATTTAAGATATATCCTGTTTTAAATACCAGGTATTTCATGTTAGCTATTATTCCAGCAATTGATTTTATTTCTTATTTATACATTATTTTATTGCTTAAATAATACTGAAGCCATTGTAGTAATTTAAATTATCAATAATTGTCAAATGAGACACCCAGTATTCTTAATATTCAACAAAACATTTCACACTTACATGTGTAGAAGAATTGTTAATTAGTGGTGTAGGTTCATAAATGCACACTGTATTATCATAAGCAGCAGCAATTTTTCCAGTATCACTTGAACAGTCGACTGAGCTAATTCTGATATAATCATGAACTGCGCCAGGTATAATTTGGACTCGTTCAAAGGTGGATGCCAGAATAACTATGTTACATCCTGCAGCATATGCCTGTAAATAAAAATATAACAGTGAAACTTCTCTGAAGTGACCAACAAAAAAATAAAAATTGCCAAATGGCTTGGTGTTTTCTAAAAGTATTAACAAAATTTGTCATTAGAAAAATTTGTAATTTTCATGATTAACCATCTTTAAACTTTCAACAACAAAAATCTGAAATTATCCTGGTTAATAAAATTTAGTCAAACACACAAACTTACTGTAAATGGAACACCCTCCACTGAACCAACAGCAAAGCATTTGTCTCCTGCGTTACACGCCCCACTTACAATTTGATGCAAATTCATCTTTATTTTGATTTTTTACGTTATTTATTAAACCATTTTAAAAACCTATACTTGTATTCGCTTTAATATACATTTTAAGGACAAATCAATTGTTATTAATTTCCATCATATGACAGATGGCGAATTAAGTATTTTGACAGTCACGGTTGCCAGAAGATAAATCTTTGCTATTAAAATCATTATATTAAAATGTAGAGAATTAAAAAGTTAGAACTGGTTAATAGATTTAAAAAATTAAATAAATAAAATTTTACTTTCTTATCAATTTTATGAATTAACGATCAATAATACAAAATAGAGCAACCGTCGTGGCAACGTTGTAAGTGCATCAGCTGACAGCACAGAACCTTATTTAGAATTTTTGGTTCTTTTTTAGGCAGTGCCCTCCTCTGTGACTGACTGAATTATGTTCTGTGGTGACTGAGGCGGAACAGAAGGAGGCTGATAAATTATTTTATATAAAATTAAAAAAAATGTGGAATTAAATATATTCTATACTATGGCTGGTTAACAATTGTCTGTAGTTAACCAATACCTAGCAGATTTAAAGCGAAATGCGAAATACGAAAAATGTTTTCATTGGTCCATTTGATTTGGCGGGAAAAGCGTTTTAACGTTTCAATAGATCCTGCGAATTCGCAAGATTTGAAATCTTGAGATTAGCCGGCCATACACAGACGTTATTGCGCGCGGTTTATCGTGTTATCTGCAAAAACATATGGAAAATCATGTACGTGAGTGAGTATCGCCGCGCGCAATGATAGAACGGGAAGGGATTTCAGACGTGCTTTTTTCTGCAGTGTGGCGTGTCCACACGCCACATTCCGCGTCACGGTTTACCTTTGCTTGGCAAAATTTCACGTTGAAAATTTGTACATGATCACATGCAGTTTCAAACGACTCGATAAATGACACTTTTTGCCCACTCACATACGATTTTTCCTTTGAAACTGATATACCACGGGCAATCACTTGCTAAATCATTTGAATACTTTATCAAGTGTATGGAACATGACGCTTTTTTGCCATGCCGTTCTTTCGTGCATACTAACCGCTACATCCCAACACGCCACGATAAACCGCGCGAAATAACGTCTGTGTATGGCCAGCTATTGTTCCAATATTTTGCGAAAATCGCACGAATTTGTCGTGATGCGCATGCGCATTAATTCTGTCTTCGATTCCAACAATTAATAAGCTCAATTGCACGCCTTCGTCCGACGAAGTTCGTCGCCAATGGTAATTGTTTATCCATAATAAAAACACAAAATCTCAATTATCTATAATGTATGATTCACATAAAACAACAAATAGAAAATGTTAACCACAGAACATAAGTTTGGCAAATATCGACTAGTGAGAAAACCATAGAAAAAGTATATACAATGTCCCTAAAATAGTTCCGACACTTCGCATCAGTGTTGCCAGATGGGAAAAAAAATAAATCCCTATCCAGTGATGTAAAAATTCCCTATAATTCCCTATTGCTATTATGAATTTTCCTATGCTAGAGTCCCTATTTTTTGTCAAAAATATACAGGTAAAGTTCTTTTTTTTATCTGGACTGCGGCAACGTTGCAAATTTAGGGTTTTGGTTGGTAAATACAGAACCAAAATTGGTCGCATTGATTAAAACAAACTGAGCTTAGCTATAGTTATAAATCTAATTGTGGTTATGTATAAATTATTGTAGGTTACATTGTGCAGTTGTCAAGTTGAGTTGTCGAAATTCGTAGTATTAATGCAATTATTAATTAATTTGGCTTTGGTGGTGCTTGGATGAGTAAAATCATATAAAAAAAGTAGTTAAATATAGGTTGCTTTACGACCCAGAAGAGAAAGTATTCCTAGCGGATAATAATCTTCGCTTTGAAAAGAATTTATATAAAAGAAATTAAAATTTTTTGTGAACGTAAATGTTGTCCAATGGTGAATATGTATTTTGTTAAAGCCAATATAAGAATTATAATGTATACCCTGCCGAAAATGCCCCTTTAAGAACAATAGAAACCAATAGAAATTTATGTTTTAATGTATTGGCATCAATTGGGAATATAATTGACTTTAATTGGTTTGAATGGGTAATTCCTATTTAGCCTTTAAAACCAATTGGTAGGTATCATATAAGATAAAACTCGGTACCAATGCACATATTGAGCAGTGGCAGCTGGTGGATTTTGGGTATACCAATATCTTAGTTATTAGACATGGGATCCACTCCAAACTTATACGAGTTTATAATGATATTGGATAGACAAGATCTGCAAAAGCAGAATTTAAATTGAAGTTTGCGAAAGTTAGATTTTTGACTGGCCGTACCACGTATCACATATGTGATCGATTATGGTACAGATAACTATTTTATTTTTTCTTTTAAGAAAAAAAATATTACAATTTGATAATCATGTTATATCTGGCAACACTGTTGAGCAACCAAAACCACCAATAAATGTGCAATTTTAAGGCAATTTTACTATATATATAGTAAAATAATTTATTCTCCCAGAATAACGTATTACGGTACAGTTGTGATAATTTTCTGAAAAATCCAATAATTTTGTAACTTTTCTCATCTGGCAACACTGTTGCTCAACGAAATTGGGCAAAGTTTGATGGTAGTTGCGGACGCACGTACTTGCAATATTTGGCCAATCAAATTCAATCTGTTTAGTAAATCTTTGGCCAATTCTAACCCAAACATTGTTTGCCGGGAAGTGAAAGTTTCGTGATTATTGTTTATCCTTTTCAATCCAAATGGTTACTATTTTCAAAGACAGGAAAATTAACTACTAGATGTTTCACGAAAAGGTTGAACCTAACAGCAAATATTTTTTTTAACAAATAGGTAGTTATTTTTTCATTGATATCATTGCTTGCAACAATCATTACTTAATCAATTTAGGGGCCGTCCATAAATGATGTCACACGTTTTTTTAATATTTTTGACCCCCCTCCCCCACTTGTCACAAAGTGTCACAAATTATGGGACCCCCCTCACAGCCTCCCAAACCACCCCCCCCCCCGGCTGTCACATTTTCGACGACCCCCCCTCCCCCCTAAGTGTGTGACATCATTTATGGACGGCCCCTTATGAATATTTATGCATTTTCTTTTTAAATACTTACTTTGGTAGTTTTCTTTACTTAAAAAAATAAATAAAAATCGTTCGCCGGAAATAACTTTTTTTCAAGAAAATATATACCATACCCAGATAACCAGCGTCCTTCCGTTTGCCGGTCAGTTGCCTACTATTCGTTCTCTTGATATGGTAGCCGTTTGCTGTCAAGTGGGTGCCACCATTTGACTGTCTGTAGACAAAAATCTTTTCTAACAATATATTGTGTGCAATCCACCGGCAACCGACGGGAAACCTTTTGCTTATAATTATTGTGGACAACATAAGAGTTTATAGGCGGAAATGTTTCCTGACAACTTATACCCAGATAGCATCTGTGATTTTGTTTTCCCTCTGTGATTTCACACTGAAGTCAGTATAAGGTCAGATGTGATTTTCAGTCATTCAAAATCATGTATGATTTAATACTGAAGTCGGTATGAGATCACGCATGATTTTCAATATAAATTTTAAGTTCCAAATCATGCCTGATTTCATACTGGGGTGAGTATGAGATCAGGCATGATTTTCAGTTAAGGGTACCTATTCCATAAGTTCCAAGCTTACAAGCTAATTTTATTTAAGCTTATAAGCTATAGCTTATATATAGTTCTCGTTTAAATGTAATGTAATGTAATCTATAGGGTATAGTTGTTTATTTGTGCTTGTCCCATTGTGTATCGTCGAGGAGACTTTAGGCCAGCGGTCCGTTAATACCCCTTACCCGCACAAGCTATAGCTTGTGCGGGTAAGGAGTAGGAACGGACTTCCGGCTTAAAGTCCCTTACGAAGGACTATACACAATGGGACAAATACAAATAAACAACCATGGTTATGGGTATGCATACCCACGTGAGTTTCGATCGGGCGCGAATATTAGTTCAAAATCATGTTTGTTCTCATACTGGGGTGTGTATGAGATCACGTATGATTTTCAATATGATTCTAAGTTCCAAAGCACGCCTGATTTCATACTGAGGTCAGTATGAGATCACATATGATTTTCAGTATAATTCTAAGTTTCAAAGCATGCCTGATTTCATACTGGAGTCTGTATGATATCACATATGATTTTCAGTATAATTAATTCTAAGTTTCAAAGCACGCCTGATTTCATACTGGAGTCTGTATGAGATCACATATGATTTTCAGTATAATTTTAAGTTCTAACTCAACCATAGAGGAATGGCGCCAGGTAAATTGCGCCAGATTTAAGAAATCTTTTTTTTTGTAAATACCTAAATTTTTAATCAAAAAATTTTGGTATTTTATTTTAATTTTTTTATAGCAATTTAAGATTTCCTCCTTCACTGGAATTTTGATGATTTGATGATTTTATTCTGACAACAGTATGATTTCAAAGCCAACGTCAGCGGGACCAAAAATCTCGACTGATTTTACTTATTCTTTAAAGTTTTCTTTCTGCCGGTTTCTACCGGTCTCTTTACAAAATCACATCTGATTTCATTCTGACATCAGTATGATTTCAAAGCCAACGTCAGCAGTAACAAAAATCACATCTGATTTCAGTCTGACTTCATATTGCTGACATTCGCGTATGCGCTACTGACGTCAGATTCTCGACAGACGTGACGAACGATTTTCACGTCTGATTTTATTCTGACGTCAATATGAAATCATAAATGCTAGCTGGGTAGTGTGCAACCCACCGGCAACACACGGGAAACCTTTTGCGTATACTGATTGTGGGCAACGGATAGGAAATGATTTACCTATTCAAATTCACTGAATTTGGTGGCAATTTGCCGATAACGAATCAGAAATTAAAATAAATAAATAAATGAAGCAGAGTGGCCTTACCCACAAACATTTATTCTAAAATGGGGTTATAATTTTAGGACAATATACATATATATATATATATATATATATATATATATACGTATAATTGGTATGTTGTTTAGCCCGAGATACTATTGGGGCGCTCTGCCACCCACCATTTCTAACGTGGTTAGACGAGTATATATCTTTGCTAAGTGTTTTTTAACATAATTTAATTTAGGAAAT